CTGTTGCATTGTGGTAAATTGTGGTCAATGTCGTGAGACAAAGTGTATGTGAACTGCTGTATGGAAAGTGAATTTGCTCTGTAAATTTTCACCCAGATCACAATTATATATATATATATATAAACTCTCCTTCTACACCCTCTCCTCCTTGATAACATGGTAGAGGAGTGGGAGGAGCTAGTTGTGGGTTGACTCCACATAATATATTTGAACTCTTTGAAGAGCAAAGCCAGGAAGGGATTATTATCATATAGTTTTTTTTGCCCTAAACATCATACCTGTGAATGAAGACTCAGAAAATGATATAAAGGAGGATAGTCTTGAGATTTACTAAAGATGCCAGTGTCTTCAAGATTACTGAAGCTGACCAACAGCAAGTGTGTGAAGGGGATAAGAAGAAGTTACAGGAGGAGCAATAAGGGAAAGCTCAATGCAGAGGCTGATTTGGAGCTGAAGTTCCAAGAATGTGTTTCAGTAAATGTGACCTGAACTTCATGTCACTTCCATTTGGCTGGAGTTTCTTCACTCTTAAATTGGAGATATATATATATATATATATATATATATATATATATATATATACACACACATTTATATACATGCTGTTGTTGTTGTTATATGCCGTCGAGTCGGACTCGACTCACAGCGACCCCTCCTTGGGTTTCCGAGGTGGTATCACTATGGAAGTAGATTGCCCAGCCTTTTGTTGTTGTTGTTATGTGCCCTCGAGTCAAACCCGACTCATAGTGACCCCTCCTTGGGTTTCCGAGGTGGTATCACTATGGAAGTAGATTGCCCCGTCTTCCTTCCAAGGAGTGGCTGGTGGGTTTGAACCACCAGCCTTCTGGTTAGCAGTTAAGTGCATTAGGCACTACACTACCAGAGCTCCATTTATATACATATGTATATATGTGTGTGTATATGTATATGTAGGAGTTCTTGTGGCATAGTGTATAAGGCATTTGATTGCTAACCAGAAGGTTGGTGGTTCAAACCCACCAGCCACTCCTTGGAAGGAAGATGGGGCAATCTACTTCCATAGAGATACTGCCTTGGAAACCCAAGGAGGGGTTGTTATGAGTTGACTGGACTTGATGGCAGTGAGTTTGGTTTTGTTATACACATATACATACATACATACATATACATATACATATATACATGCATACACACATATGTACATATACATACACACATACATATATACACACATATACATACACATGTTGTTGTTGTTACGTGCCCTCGAGTCAAACCCGACTCATAGTGACCCCTCCTTGGGTTTCCGAGGTGGTATCACTATGGAAGTAGATTGCCCAGCCTTCCTTCTGAGGAGTGGCATGCATACATATATACATATATATGTCGCACAGGATACTGTGGGGATCAAGTTTGCAATGAAATCAAAATATTTTGAAAAGTAAGACCACAAAACCAAACAAAATTCACTGCCATTGTGTCTATTCTAACTCATAGTGACCCCCATTGGATTTCCGGGGCTGGAAACCTTTATAGAAGTA